ATTTTTAGTAGAGACAGAGTTTCACCCTGTTGGTCAGGCTGATCTTTAACTCCTGGCCTCAGGTGATCCACTGCCTCAGCCTCCCAAATTAGTGGGATTACAGATGTGAGCCACCTTGCCTGGTGAGATAGATCATTTTTATATAGAGGTGACAATGCATTGGAAGCAAGTGAACAAAACCACTAATCAGTAAACTCTGGGTTTGCCTCGGTACCTAATGATTTATGAATTCTGGAATAGGAATCCCCAAAATGCTCCCTTGTACACACACAGCAAGGGTGAGTGTGTGTGTGTGACGGCATGCATGTGCTTGTGTGTTTAAATGTGTGCGTGTATTTTGTCAAGAATGCTTTGTCAGGAGCTTAGAAGTTGAAAACTCCATTACAGAGAGAAGCTGGAAACAAATGTGTGCTAAGTTCTACTATATATTTTCTTTCTTCAAGTAACAAATTTCTGCTATAGACCCTGGAACCAGACAGCCTCATTCATACACCATATTCTGAGGTTAAGTGTCTAAGTGGGAGTGAATTTACACATACACAAATGTCTTCCAAATCAAAATGTGGGTCTGTGAGATGAAATAGTCCTGACAAATAGGTTTACCATCTGTTTGTTTGTTGTATATATGATGTGACACAGTTCCCAGTTACCTCAGACGCCCATTCCAGTTTGAAGGCTGTTATTCTGGGGAGAAAGGAGGGCTCTCAAACTGACTTAGCCTCTAAGAAACATGGTAAGTGAAAGGCAAAAGTGAATGGAGGGGACAATATATGGGATGGCATTGGAGAATATTTTGCAGGGAAGTAAGTACAGCAATATTTTTGTCCACAAGCTTCATGAAATACAACTGTCTAAGAACACAGAAACACTAATTTAGAGTTTATGTAATGTACCAGGCGCTAGGCCACATAACTACATTTGATTCTATTATCAATTAATTTGTAAAACTGAGGTTCAGAGTGGTAGAAAGATTGAGAAGAGATTGTAAGTCTGGGTGTATCTGGTCGAATGCTCACTCTACATACTTAACTACTGCAGAAATGTGAATGAATCAGCCACTAGTGACCCAGGTGATTTTTGCAGAAATAACAGTGTTCTTATATGTAAAATGATAGATCATCTCTAAGGTTTATTCAGAAAGATCTGGAAACATGACTGCATTCCTAGGAAGTTAAAAAGATTTCATAAGGACATTAGCAAAATCTCCCTCACTACTTTCAGCCTGAGAAGTAATTTCCCCTAACTTTGTAAAAGCCCTCACACCGATTTAATTTCAGTTTATGCAAAGCCCTTTGGGTGTAAATAAATGAGATGCTTTAATAAGGTAATTTCTTTTAGAAAATAGGTAGCATGACAAGTAACAGGACAATTGGCACCAGAAATAACTTTCTTGGTTTTACTTATTCTAGATTGCCTAATTTATTTTCACTCCTCAAGAGGAATAAGGAACATTGAGCATGGCCCTAATTAAAGTCTTGTCACAGGTGTCACAGTAATTTAGACCTACGTGGAAGCTTCAACTCCTGTTGCAAGATTCTCACAGAACAGGCCCCTGCTGGCCTCTCCAGTTTGTCTCCCCCTACTCAGCTGAAGCCACATCAGATCTTTTTGCTCTTCTTTAGACACTCTAGGCCTCCGGATCTTTCTATTCTTTTTTGTTTGGAATGCTCTTTCCATGGCTCTTTCCATTTCCATGGCTTATTTCCTTTACTCAGATCTAGCACAGAAGACTCCTCATTATATCGGAGACGTTTGCCCGTACCATCTAAAATAGTGTGCTCCATCTGCCCCCTCCTACCCTCTGTATTCTGTTGCTTTGCTCTATTTTACCTTATAGAACTTACCTCTTACCTTATACTATACTGAACATTTTTTTTTAAATTTATTTTTTCCTTTTACTTCCTCCCAATACTGTAAGCCCCAAGAGGGAAAGGAGCACACTTATTTTATCAGTCTACTCTCGCCCCAAGAAAAACCCTAGTAATTTCACTGCCCAATCAGTGCCATATTTGCAGCGTGAATCAATGGAATGTGTGGATGTGATTTTGTTGACTGGTATTTGACCTGAACAAAGGTTCTGGAAATTAAAATTCAAGCAAAAGGGCTAATCAAATTGTTATTATGTTTTCTCTGTCCTTGCCTTAAGTAACAGACTGAAAATTCCTGGGATAGGTGAGACATACAAGCTGGCATCTGTTTAATTAGATAGGAGTCATTTTAAGTAGTGAAGCCATTTTGACCACATGTTAATGAAGGAAAACTGATGTCACAGTCGGGGCTCAGCTCCTGGCGGTGCTGCTCCTGCCTTGCAAGGCAGCAGGAACATGTTCCCCCGTACCCAGGCAGGTGGCACCACTCTTCTGGGCAACTGGGGAATCTCCTACAGGAAAGTCAGATACACAGAACTGTGCATGTGACAACAGGGAGGAGCCCTTTTCTCCACAGTAGGCCTTCAGGAGGAAAAAGCGTGTAAGGGTGGATACTGGAGTCAGGGATTGGTATATAACCTACTCCAGAAGGCCAATAAATGAAGTAAGTAAATTTATAAGTGGTAAGAGATTGAGAGGAGAAAGGTGAGGGACAGGAGGGAGATTGTGTGGCTTCCCATTGCTCATTTATCTGTCCCTTCGTGATTGTGTTCTACTGGAGAGAGGAGGTGGTTCCTGTAATGCGTCAGTGAGCCTTAAATATACTCCCAGCGTGTAGGTTTACCCTTCTAATTTTCAGAGTATGCTGTGAAGAAAATGTTCACTTACATTAATGATATTTTGTTTAAAAATGGACCATTTATCCAACACATTATCGAATGCTTATTATATGACAGTCTTTGCACTAAGAACTAAGGCCATGAAGTGTAATGAAACATAATTTCCCTCTACAAGGTGAGGGCATATAAATGATGTTATAAATACCATGTAAGTGGTATGAACAAGATGTCATGGGCTCCCAAGGGAGTATATGTCTATAATTGGGGGAATTAGGGAAGGTCTCAGTTAGATGGTGATATTTGAATTTGAAAGATGAAGAGGACTTTTGTCACACAGAAATGTCAGAAAAAGGACATGCCATACAGCATAACATGTATCAAAACTATGAATTGGTTTTGGTAATGATAAGAATTTTGGTTTTTGTGTATGTATACGTGTGTGTGTATCCACTTGAGAGCATTATGGCATAATGAGAGACATAGGTTTATCAAGGTTTATTCAAGGAAATTTCAGCTGCTCTATGTATTGCAAGTTTGAAATGTTTAATGCAGGGAATTAGAAGTTTATTCTCATTGGAAGCCTTTCGGGGAGTGTAGACTATCTCAGTGCAGAATAGTTATGAGGTGATCCTCAAGTGTTAATTAGAATGTGCTTCAAATCTCATGACCACCTGTGTGTCTGCTCACAATATGTGGGGAATAATGCCCTCCCAATCTTTGGAATTTGGATTTGGAAGCATTTGCTTTCCAAGTCTTGTGTGATGCTTCTCAATGGTGACTCTAAACAAAAACCACATGGGGAAGAGTACTCCCAGAATTTTCTTTGTTGCCATTCCCTTCCTTGCGGTGGAAAATAGATCTTATGGGGGTTAAAGTGGTACAGAAATAAGAGCACACAATAAAGCTCAGTGAAAGACAGGCAAGGTTGGCTGGAGTCCCATTGTACTGGCTTTCATGACATCGTATGTGTTTGCATATCATCTTGGAATCACCGGAAATATTATTGAATGTCTTAACTCAGGGAATGAAATGATTAACTGAGTTTTAGAAAGATTAATCTACACTTTTGTTATTAGAAAAATAACTATAAAGAGGAAAAAATAAGAAATGAAGGAGAGCGATGTGTTAGTGTTGTTTCTGTGTTGCAATAAAGATACCAGAGACTGGGTAATTTATAAGAATAGAGGTTTAATTGGCACATGTTTCTGCAGGCTGTACAAGAAGAATGGTGCCAGTATTTGCCTCGGCTGAGGGATTCAGGGTATTTACAATCATGGTGGAAGGCAGAGAGGGAGCAGGCTTATCACATGGTGTGAAAGGAGGGAGGTGCCACACTCTTTTAAACAACCAGCTCTTGCATGAACTACCAGAGTGAGAACTCACTCATTACCAAGGAGATGGCACCAAGCTATTCATGAGGCACCTGCTCCCATGACCCAAACACCTCCTATGAGGCCCCGCCTCCAATATTGGGGATTACGTTTTAACATGAGATTTGGAGGGAGCAAACATGCAAACTATATCAAGAAACATATGACACTCTGACACTCAAATTATACGAAGTTTGGATGAAGGGAAATTAGAAGGTAGAGAAGTTAGTTCCTTCCTAAGCTTTGTCTTTTCCTTAACAGCCAAGTTTTGGTTCTAAAAACATTAAATGAGCACCTACACACTAGCATTGTGCTTCCAGAAAATAATCACCCTGTTCATTTCCACTTTCACTCTTTGTGATCTTATTCAACTGATCAGAAACAAAATTCTGTCGAGAAAGGTCACCTGTGGATTTCTGTGGCGAAGACTGTTAACTAACTACTAAAGATGTGTTCCTCTTATGTAATATAGAGTCGCATGAAGTGGCTGCCCAGATGTGGACTATCATTTCCAACCCCTTTGCAGCTAGGTGGGACCATGGCACTGAATTCTGTTCAATGGAATGTGGGTGAAAATATATCAATTCCAAAACTATCCCAACTGTCCCATATAATCTCCCACCCCTTCCAAACTCTTTTCCCATCCACTGGCTGGATAAAACTTTCTTGAATGGCCTGGCAAGCCACATAATAGAAAGGGGAGAGTCTTCATGAACTTGGGTCCCAGAACCACGTTTCCCCTCCACACCACACTGCTGCCACCACCACCTCCAAATGGACCTTACATGAGCAAAAAACCAAACCAACACCGACACCACCATCACCAACCAAACACTCTTATTTTATTAAGCCACTGAGATTTCAGAGGTTTCCTATAACCACAGCTAGTAATATTTTCTCGATGTTTCTCTGTGGCAATACATACCATATCTTTAGCACATGATATGTCTATTTAAATGAGAGTGCCTTTTGAGTACTTGAAACTATAGATAAGGAATTCAGAAAGATCTGAAAACAGAATTTTGGAGTTGTTAGCACATAGGTAGTAATTGAAACCATGGGTGTGAGTAGGATGATTCAGGAAGAATGGGCAGAATGAGAAAAGAAGGCCAAAGAAGGAATCTTGGGGAGTCAAACAGTAAGGCTGCAGGTAGAGAATGAAGCAGTAGCCAAAAGTGTGGCCAAGAGAATAAACCATATTCTGTCCTAGCATTCATGAGAATTCAAGGGAAGGAAGACTATGTCACAGGCTGAGGATAAATGTTTCACTGGAGTACAGAGAACAAAAGAAAAATAGATAGCTGTGCACTGAGGAGTGAAAAAGGGAAGTGAAAGTAGAAACAGAAACTGCAGCTGATTCTAGAAGTGCAGCAGTGAGGGAAGGAAATACATGCCTTCAAGGTCAGCTAAATAAGCAGATGCATCTTAAGGATGAGGACAAGTTAAACAGGTTTGTAAGCTAAAAGAGAACAGGCATGACAGAGGATACAGTGAAGATTCAAAAAGAGGTGATGAATGTTGGAAAGGTCTTGGAGGACACGTAATAGAAGGGAAAGTTCACAAGGAGAGGGGCTTTGTCTGTCTTGTTTGACACTGTGTCCCCAGGTTTAGAATATTCTGGCATCAGAAGGCACTCAGTAAACAAAGAGAGGAAGAAAGGAAGAAGATGGAATCGGGAGTACAGATTAAAGTGTTATCTTTGGAAGAGAGGCAAGACATCCTCTGGGACAGAGGGAAGGAGGGAAAGCTGGGGAACATGAAGGTAACACAAGAGGTGTGGTTTGTGACTGATGGATGCTATTTTCTCTGTGAGGTAGGAGGCTTGGCCATCTGTTAAAAATGAGTGGGAGAGTCCAGCTAAGTGATTTAAGAGGAATGCTAAAGGTTTGTAACAGCTACTGGCATGAATAATATGGTTATTTACTTGAAATAAAAATATTAGTTAATACTAACAATGCATGCGTTGTGAAAACTGATGCATTCGTTTGAGGTTATTTACAGATTTACAGAAAATAAACTACTGGATGCATTCAATCAGTTATAATGTTAAGGGTTAAGTTTAAGACACAAATATAAATTTGTTTGCACATCATCCAGAGCAAAGTCAATAACCTATTTGGTATATTGCACAACCTCAGACATTTGTTACTCCTTTGCTCTGAACTTTTAAGATACGCCTTAATCTCATATTGGTAACTATAACGTTGTGTAGTTATGAACTTCATCATTTGGATAAAATGAAAAAAAGCAATTGTCCCGAATTCTCTGATTTAGTTGCCAAATCTTAAATAATGCCTTTTATGAAGAAAATATAAGTGAATAAATGATATGTAAATACTTTAATTTTATAGACTAGAGGTGGCTTTGAATATGTAGATTTCATAATGTTGAATATCATGAGGACTTCTGTGACAATAAAAAAACTGTTCGATTAAGCATTTTAATATACTGTCAAGGCATATATATTAAGCAAAAGCAAAAGCTTAATTACTCTTTTACAGACTGAATCCCGACAACTTTGGACATTCCTTCATTTGACAAATTTTTACTGCACACTTACAGACCATTGACACAGTGAAGATGAGGATGGCATGATTTTCCTGTCTTTGTGGAGATAAATGAATGAACTATTTTAAACTAGCTGAAGCATGAGTTATTCCCAAATTTCCTCCACGAACCATAGGCTCCTACCCTTAACCATTTTATGAAAAGTCTATGGTGAATTGGAGTCCTCCAGTAATTTGACAATATCTGATTTGCCATGGTCATGTGGAAAAAGTAGGGATGTGAGCAAGTCATAGTTTCACTTGGTAGGAAAATTCTTCTAATTTTGTCAAGATGAAACGTTTTATACTGGGTAGAAGGCAGTGTGAGAGAAGTGGACAGTAGAATTAATATTCAGTGAGCCAGTGGCTGTATTTTAAAATATGAAGGATACATATTTGGCGGTTTAAGTACAATGATCTACTTTTGGGCTGCTATACTTTAGGCTAAAGCAATTAAAGGCAATGTAATGAACATCATTATCTGTGGGTGTCCCTTTGATTATCACTGTGTTATGGTTTACACTGTAATGGCTCTCTCTTTGAGGAAAGGCACTGTTCCTCCAGGGAGATAAAGTATGAATCTTACCTTTAAGCATACACTTCTCCTCACCCTCAGTGTAGATTGGCTCTGGAATTTCATGCTTCACGTGGGAGTTAAAGGTTTTCATTTGTAATTTTATATTCGTATTAGAGGCCAGGCTGTTGAGATTAGAATGTATTTATTTTTCAGTTGGAGTGTGATATTCAATATTCCCTATTGTAAACAGCCATATTAACCAAGATAATTTAATTTTGGAATGATTACTTTTTGCCTTTGAGATGTAGATCAAAAGGTTCTATCATATATACAAATAAAGTAAAAAAATTTTTTTTCTGTGAATGTTATATATTTTTTTTATTATGATAAAAAGCACAACTTTTCCCTTATTTTTGGGTGTATGGTACAGCATTGTTAACTATAAGCATAATGTGAGCTGATCTGTGAAATTTTTTCCTCGTCTGACTAAAACTACGCCCACTGAACAGCAATTTCCCCATTTATCTCTCTCCAAGCATCCAGAAATCATAATTTTACTATATATTTCCATGAGTTTGATTATTTTAGATACTTCATGTAAGTGGAATCGTGTAGCATTTGTCCTTCTGGTACTGGTTTATTTCACTTAGCATACTGTCCTCAAGGAATATCTATGTAGTGGAATTTTCTTCTTTTTGTTGGCTGAATAATATTCTATTATATAAACATATACTACATTTTCTTTATCCATACATATTGCTGATACACTTTTACGTTGTTCCTTATTCTTATCTATTGTGAATAACGCTGCAGTGAACGTGGAAGTGTAAATACCTTCCATGTCCTGTTTCAGCTCTTTTGGATAAATGCCCAGAAGTGGGATTGCTGGATCAAATGGTACTTTTTAATTTTAATTTTTCTATGAACACGTATGCTGTTTTTTTTGATAGTGGCAACACCATTTTATATTCTCACCAATAGCGCATGAAATTCAATTTTCTTTGCATCCTTGCCAATATTTTTTATTTATTTATTTTTAATTTTTTGTAATGACCATCATAATGGGTGTGAGGCAATACCTCAGTGTGGTTTTGATTTGCATTTCTCTAATGATTAGTGATGAATGTCTTTTCATATGCCTGTTGGCCATTTGTATCTCTTTTTTGAAGATGCTTTTTATTTTTTGCTATTGAGTTTCTTGTACATTTTAATATTAACTCCCTGTCAGATATATGGTGTATAAATATTTTCTCTTATTCTGTAGATTGCCTTTTTACTTGGTTGATAATTTCCTTTACTATGCAGAAGAGTTTTAGTTTCTGGTTTTTTCGTTTGATTTAGGCCCATTTTTCTATTTTTGCTTTTGTTGCTTGTACTTTTGGTGTCATATCCAAGAATTCATTGCCAAGACCAATGTTATGAAGATTTTACCCTATGTTGCCTTCTTGGAGTTTCATAAATTCATGTCTATGTTTAAGTCTTTAATCTATTTTAAGCTGATTTTTGTGTATGATATAAAATAAGGGTGCAATTTTATTTTTTTGTATGTGAATATCTGGTTTTCCCAGCACCAATTTTTTGAGACTCTCCTTTTTCCACTGTGTAGTCTTGGCATCCTGTCAAAGATCATTTGACTGTGTATGTGTGGATTTATTTCTGGGCTCTCAGTATTGTTCCATTAGCCTATATGTCTATCTTTATCCCAGTACCATGGTCTTTTGATGATTATAGCTTTGTAACATGTTTTGAAGTAAAAAAAGTGTGAGGCCTCCAGTTTTGCTCTTTTTCTCAAGATTGTTTAGTCTACCTTGGGGTCCTTTGTACTTCTGTGTAATTTTTTAGAATTGTTCTGTCAATTTCTGCAAAAAAAATATCACTAGGATTTTAATAGAGATTGCAGTCAATGTGTAAAACACTTTGGATGATATGGCCATTTGAACAATATTTTCCTCCAAGTCATGAACATGGAAAGTCTTTCCATTTATTTGTGTCTTCTTTTCTTTATTTTTTATTTTTTTTAAGATTATGTTGTGCTCTTTATTGCCAAAAATAAACACTTTTAAAAAGACAACTTCTGTTAATCAGTAAATATCTCTTTTTTTCTGTGTCTTCTTCAGGCTTCCGAATTAACTGTGGTGGTATGTCCCTATCTGGAGACAATGTTAAGAGGTCAGGGCCAGAACCTTCATTTAGGATAAATGAAATACTTCTGTGTACGTGGGAGGGAACTTTGCTCTTGCTGGCTGCTGCCACCAGCACCACCAGCAACAAGAAACTAAATAATCAGGTACCCGTGAAGGGGTTCGTGAAACATTGTGTTTATACAGGAGTGAGGGGACAGTCAGGATCTGATGCTATTCCCAGAAGGTTACTTTTCAAATTAAAGACACCTGGGAATTTGAAGTGGTAGTAGGCCAGCTCCGGGGGAAAGACTGGAAGGGTTTATAGGCCCCTTGAAGGAAGGCTGTGGCATTCAATCCTAGTATCAGCAATCTAAGGTACAACTGAAATTACTCCTTTTGGACAGAAAGCATTTAAAAAACCAACCAGGAGAGAAGACTGGTTGGTTTCCCTACAGGTGCATTAGAAAACAGGCTGAAAGGGATGTTTGGGGATGTGGGGAGCACTGCTGGCAATTAGGGCCAGTAAAAAACTGTCCTGTTTAAACATCGCTGGCATCCCTGGTAATCTATGACCTGCTTCTAGTTGGTACTGATGACCTGCCAAGAAGCTCAAGCAACAGTAGACTACATTCCCAGAAACTAGAAGAATCTCGAGAGAGAAGCCCAAATCCAGCTGCTGGCTTGAATTTCCATTTTTTGCTGAAGCAGGCAAGCTGCAGCTAGTTTATAGTTAGCATGTCTCTCTGGATCTCATGGCTTAACTGAGTTTGTAAATCACTCAGCTGCTTCTTCAGTCCAGAAAGAGCTGGGAGGACAATGGTTTCAGGACACAGAGAGCCACAGGACTTTGCGTTGCAGTAAAACCTTCCTGGCTTGCCCTTGGGGTCACAGGGCAAAAATCCTGCGACTCATCCTCATGAAGCTCCAAGTGCTCACTCTTTGGTCATTCCTTGGGTTTGGGGTACACTGAGTGCCTCAGGGTATTGTCTGGATTGTATTCAAAAGCCACCCCTGCTGTAGGGTTCAACTTGGCGTGCTCCTTGCCAAAGCACTTTTTGGCATAGGCTGAAAGTCTCAGCTCCTGGCTCTTTCTCAACTTGATGATGAAAATGTCATCCTGCTCCATATAGTCATTAGGTTCATTATCTTGGTTCTCGGATGTCACCAGAATGACCTGGGTGCTGTTGGAGATGAGGTCTCAAGATGTGACATGTTGAATCTGGTCTTCATTGAACTGCACTTTGAGGGTGTACTCCACCAAGCTCTGGGCAGAACTCTACACATGTGCAGTCCCAGGAGGACAGCAGCTTGTCCACAGTGTCATCACTAATGAGGGGAATTCATCCAAGTTTGTGAGCCATGAACTCATCATGAAGAACTGAGGAATTGGCATCAATGTGAACCCAGTCAATGGCTACTATGGGCACCTCAACGAAGAAGACACTCTGAATCGAAATGGCCACTGCCAGGTTGGTGTTCTGGATGATGAACTTGACATTCTTGTTGGTGAGCTCTGCGATCTGCACAGTGGGCTGGTTGGCTCATGGCATCATGCCCCCATTTGTGTTTTATTTTCTTTTAGCAATGTTTTATGGATTTCAGTTTCTACATATTTTATAATACTTCTCAGTTAAGATTATTACTAAGAATGTTGTTCTTTTTGATTCAGTTGTAAATGTATTGTCTTCTTCATTTTTGTTTCCAATTGTTCATTGGTAGTTTACATATACTCAACTGATTTTTGTGTGTTGATTTTGTATCCCACAACTTTGCGTAATTGGTTTATTAGTTCTAATGGCTTGTGTATGTGTATATGCATCTCTGTGTGTGTAATTGTCAATGTTTTCTATATATTATCTGCAAAGAGTGAAAATTTTGTTTCTTTCTTTCTGATTTGAATGCCTTTTAATTATATTTCTTGCCTAATTTTTCTGGGTTAAAACTTCCAGTAGTATGTTGAATAAAAGTGGTGAGAGAGGGCATCCTTAGCTGGTTTCTGATCTTAGAGGAAAAGCTTTCAGTTTTTCACTGTATAGTATGACATTAGCTGTGAACTGTATTATGTTAAGGTAATTTTCTTCTTAGTTGATTGAGTTTTTATCACGAAAGGATGTTAAAATTTTCAGATTTTTTTCTGCATATATTAAGATAATCAAGTGATTTTTGTTGTCTATTCTGTTAATGTGGTGTCTCATACTGATTATTTTTGTATGTTGGCCATCCATGTATCCTAGGGATAAATCTGACTTGGTCATGGTGCATCCTATACATTTTGTTATGTTCTATTTTCATTTTCATTTGTCTCAAAATATTTTTCTAAACTTTAACATCTAATTTCTTCTTTGATTCATTTGTTATTCAAGAGTGTGTTGTTTAATATCTACATATCTAAGAGCTTTTCCATTTTCCTTAGCTTTCTGTTTCATTCCATTGTTGTTGGAAAATATAATTGGCACATCTTCAATCTTAAATTTGTTGACTCATTTTGTGACTTAACATGTGATCTATTCTGGAGAACATTTCATTCATGCTTGACAAAAATATGTATTCTGCTGCCATTGTTCTGCAAATATCTGTTAGTTCCATTTCATCTATAGTCTGGTTCAAATCTTCTTATTTATTTATTTCCTTATTGGTCTTCTGTCTTGATGTTCTACCAATTATTGAGAGTGGTATATTGAAATTCTCTATTATTATTGTGTGTTGTTTATTTGTCTGTTTAATTCTTTCAATGATTGCTTCCAATATTTGAGTGCTCTGATTATGGTTACATATATATTTATAATTCTTACATATTTCTGGTAGATTGACCCTTTTATCATTATATAATGTCCTTTTCCTTCTTTGTCTTTTTGGACAGTTCTTGACTTAAAATCTATTCTGTCTGTTATAAATTTGGCCACTCTTGCTGTCTTTTTTGGCTACCATTTGTGTAGATTATTTTTTCCAGCCTCTCACTTTCAGCCTGTGTGGGTCTTTAAATCCAAAGTGAGTATCTTTTATACAGAATGTAGTTGAGTCTTGTTTTCTTTAAATCCGTTTAGCCACTGTACAAGTCTTTTAATTGAGAATTAAATATATTTACCTTTAAAGTAATTATTGATAGGAAAGGTCTTACTATTGCTATTTCTTAAATTGCTTTCTAGCTATCTTGTAGCTTTTTTGACCTCTTTCGTTCTCACTGTCTCTGTGTTTTGCTTTTGGTAGTGGCACGTTTTGATTTCTTTCTCATTTTCTTTTGAGTATCTCCTATAGGTACTTCCACTGTGATTGCCATAAAACTTACCTAAAACATGTTGTTGTTAAAAAAATCTACTTTACACTGATAACTTCAATTCCATACAAAAACTCTTAACTTTTACCCACCTCCCCACACTTTATGCTATTGATGTCACAAATTACATCGTTTTATACTCTATACTCATTGCTATATTTTATAAGTATTTATACTTTTATCTTTTATACAGAAATTAAAAGAGATTTATGCATTATTGTTACAATATTACAAGTGTCTTAGTTTGTTCAAGCTGTTATAATAAAATTCCATAAGATGTGTAGTTTTAAATGACAATTATTTGTCATGGTTCTGGAGGTTGGGTAGTTTAAGGTGAAGGCATCAATAGATTTGGTGTCTAATGAGGGCTAACTTTCTTTTCATAGACTGTGCCTTCTCTCTGTGTTCTCACATAGTAGAAGAGGCAAGCAAGATCACTTGGCACTGTTTTATAAAAGCATTTTATAAAAGCATGTTGGCTTGGCTCCCATGACCTAATTGTCTCCCAAAGGCCACACTTCCTCATACCATTATCTTGGGGATTAAAGATTTCAACAAATGAACTTTGAATGCATACAAACATTCAGATAATAGCAATAGTATTCTTTATGTGTTTATTTACCTTTACCAGTGAGCTTTATATTTACATAGGCTTTCATGTTACTGTTTAACATCCACTGGTCTTAACTTGAAAACTGCCTTTAGCACTTCTTGTAAGGCAGGTCTAGTGATGATGAACTCCCTCAGCTTTTGTTGATCTGGGAAAGCCTTTACTTTTCCTTAATTACTAAAGGATAGTTTTTGTAGATACTGTATTCTTGATTGACAGTTTTGTTTTTTTTTTTCTTTCAGCATGTTGATATATTATCCACTTTTCTTCTACCTTAGAAGGTTTCTGCTGAGAAATCTGGTGATAGTCTCTTGTTCATAACAAGTTGCTTTTCACTTGGTGCTTTCAAAATAGTTTTTCTTTGACTTTTGACAATGTGATTATGATGTTGTTTCTTGTGTATGTCTTTGAATTTATCTTAGTTGGAGCTTGTCGAGTTTCTTAAATCTAGATGTCCATTTCCATTCTTACATTTGAGAAGTTTTCAGCCATTATTTTATTAAGTAATGTTTCTGCCCCATACTCTCTGTCTTCCCCTTCTAAAACAACAATAATGCAAATATTGATCCATTTGATAGAACCTTATATGTCCCTTAGGTTTTCTTTATTCTTGGTCATTCTTTCTTCATTTTGCACCTGTAGTAGATAATTTCACATGACTTATATTCAAGTTTGCTGATGTTTTCTTCTGCAAATCAAGTCTGCCATTAAACTTCTCTAGTGAATTTTGCAGTTTATTTTTCAGCTCCAAAACTTCTTTTTTATATTTTCTATCTCTTTCTTGATACTTTATCCTATTCATTTTTTATTTCCTAGAGCTCACTGGGCATCTTTATGACAATTATTTTGAATTCTTTTTCAAGTTGTTCATATACCTCTTTATAGATCCCCTTTCTGGAGATTTAGTTTATTCCTTTGATTGAGCCATGTTTCCTTGTTGTTCATGCACCTTGTTGCTTTGTATTAGGATCTGTCACTTCTCCCAGTCTTCAGACTGGCTTTGCTTAGAAAAGACCCCAACTAAATAGCCCAGAAAGAGATTCTGGAATTCTCTGAAACTTTTTTGGGTATATCTTGGCCTGTGCATGCAATTTCTCAGAGAGGCTTTTTGTTTCCCTTCAGGAATTCATTATCTTTTTTGATGTCGGTCTGTGGCACCACAAGTTCTCTGACTCTACAGCTGCAAGTTTCCCACTCTCTTTTGTTGTCAATGACTGGCAAATATCCAGAGTATGCCAGCTTCCTATCAGACACTGAGTAAGGTGAGACCGTTACCAGTTTCTTAGGAAGTGGTGTTCCAAGAAGCTGGAAAGACAGACTCATGCTCTGTTTTCCCTTCCTCTTGAAGGTGAAGCCTTGAGTTGTGCATCTTCTCTTAATTTTACTGAGCTATGCTAGGTATAGCAAACTGCCTACTCTTTTATGTTTATTTTATTTTTTTACTTCTTTTCTCAGTGGCTCCAAGTCATCCAAACTATGCTAGTTCTATCAGTGCTCCAAGTGAGGCAAGAAAGAAACTAGTCCCTTGGGCAGTCCTCTGAAGACCCAGAATGCCAACACATGCTCCACCCCTCTTCTTTCTCCTTGCCAAAGAAGAAGTCTTAAGTTGTGCACTTCCTCTGTCAATCGTGCCATGCTATACCAACCACAGCAAGCCACCTGCTGCTTTCCATTGTCCTCAGTGACTCCCAGACATTCAAATTATGCTAGTTCTGTTGGCACACCAATCAAGGAAGTCAGAGACCAGTTTCTTGCGCAGCTCTCTGAAAAGCTGGAATGTTGGAAGCATGCTCAATTATTTTCTCCCAGAGGAAAAAGATGTGAAAGAGGCATTTTGTCCTGGCACATAGCTGTGCTAACTTGGAGGAGGCACTGACACAGGTCAGTGAAATTGCTCTTCTTACTCAAGTCAGTTTGACTATTCTCTACTTTGTGCACACCTGGGATACTGCAACATCTTAATTGGAATCTAGAATTCTTATAAAAATGTTTAGTGTGTACATTTTTGTTCAATTAGTGTTTCTGTATGGGAATAAGGGCTGAGACTTTCTATTAAGTCACATGGAGTTAATTATACAGATAATTATCTTTATTCAGATCACTCATATTATTAAAAAAACTATCCATTAACAAAACTCTCACTTGAAAAGTATTTTTCTGGAGAAAAACACTCTTATTTAGTGTCTAGGTGTACAGCCTCTCATTTGGTATGAAGGAAGTCTTGTTTACATTGAAATGCATAGTATAAATAGGATATTAGTAGGTAAAAAGGGGCTATATCCTAGGTTCTTGACTTGGAAGCTTTAATTTCTGCAATTTGAAAGGACCTCTCTTGGCTGGGCGCGGTGGCTCACGCCTGTAACCCCAGCACTTTGGGAGGCCGAGGCAGGTAGATCACGAGGTCAAGAGATCGACCATCCTGGTCAACATGGTGAAACCCCGTCTCTACTAAAAATACAAAAAATTAGCTGGGCATGGTGGCGCGTGCCTGTAATCCCAGCTACTCAGGAGGCTGAGGCAGGAGAATTGCCTGAACCCAGGAGGCGGAGGTTACGGTGAGCCGAGATCGTGCCATTGCACTCCAGCCTGGGTAACAAGAGTGAAACTCCATCTCAAAAAGAAAGGACCTCTCATTGTTCTCAAGCATCCCTCTCCCAGGAGTGGATACTTGGGTTTAATGTAGGGGTGAAGTCATGTTCTGAAGAGGAAATTTTGACTTAGGGATTGTGGAGATAAGGTTTTAACAATATATTTCCAACTTTTATGATGCAACATATGTTGTTTGTCATTTTAATGGAAGATAAAAATTTTATGGCCAGATATTCAGGAAAGGGAGGAATTGTTATTTTATTTGTATGTGTTTTCCTGTTTCTCCTTTGCTCCCCTTCTTGCTGGGAGTTCCCCTATATATTTCATTCCTATCAGTCTGCTTCTTGCCATCTCTTCCTGTTGAATGCTTTCATGAATTTTATATTTTCCCTCATAGATATTGTCATGGAAGCACTGCTTATTATTTCTTGTTTATCTTTTTTTCTCCAATGACCATTGTGTTTTCCTTTTCTCCTTTATCTGACCCTCCCTTTCTCTTCTTTGGAATAGTTGCTTACTGCTTACAAGGAGTGCTTTGAATACTAATGCTATAATTCAGACACTGATTTTTAAACAGAATCCAAAGATTGCATTTGAGGCTGGCCTGACTCAGTATCTGCCATATGCCACTAAAATAATCTATTGTTTATTACTGTTTTATTGTGTTCTTATACAGTTTTATACTGCTTGGGTGTGATCTGGCACTGTTAGCTTTATCCACTTCAAAATTAACCAAGCCATCTGGAGGAGTATAATTTAGAGGGGTAGCACATGGGTTTGTGGATGCTGACATCTTGATTGTGCTCTGAGGGTGTCTCTTATGTTTCCTCATACCCCAGTTTCACCCAAATAAAGCACAAAAATTAAATCACACATCTACTCTCACTTCACTACATATACATTTTTCAGGCTTCACTGAAATATCAAGAAAATGAAAAGAATAGTCTCTGGAGTTCCTTAAAATCATAACAAGTTTGTGGTATTTAAATATATTCAAGCATGAAGTGATATTTAAACAATTTCTTGATAGTTTCTTCCCAATATAATTTCTCACATTTTTTCTCATTTTATTGCTGAAGTATTTTATTTATTTGTTCCCTCCCTCCCTTTCTTCCCCTTTTTTTTCTTTCCCGTTCATTCCTTTCCTGTCTTCTCCTCTTCTCTCCTTTCCTGTTCTCTCCCCTTCTTTTGTTTTCTTTTTTCTCCTTTCATCTGCAAATTTGTGTGAAGCATAAATTATTAGCCAGAATGGAAGATTTTAGTGATGAAGAAGATAGGCAAGGAGATGTTTGATAGGAGAACACACACAGCATATAAAGACATAAATAATAATAAACAAGATATTATTTTCTATACTTAGTTTTATAAAGAAAATAGCTCATAGTTATTTGCTAGAGATTGATGGATGAGAGTAAGGTAGCTATTTCCCTATAGAAAATCAAGTAAGGCATTTCTGAGATGGTAGCATCTGAGCTTACACCTAAACAACAAGAAATAGCCAATAACAAGTGGACCTAGGACTCAGTATTTCAGTCAGACAAACAGCAAATGTGAGCTTCACAGGGTTTAAGAACATAAAACAATCTAGGAGCCATGAGTAAAAAGAAAAAGGAAAGGACAGGAGTTTAAAGAGGTAGGCAGGGTACTGTTCATGTTCACAATGCTGAAGGTCCCGGGGAAGGGGCTGGATTTTATTTCAATGGTAAGAAGAAACTATTGGAGGGTTTTAGGCAGGGAAGTGATATGATTAGATTTATGTTTTTAAAATATCACTATGGGTTCTGCATAGTGAATGAGGAAAACAAAGCAAGACACATTAAATGGTTTTTCCTAGACTGCAAAGTCATAGAACAAGAACCCCTGTCTTCTGACTCCAAGTCCAGCCTTTTTTATCATTTACCTTGTGACCTCATCATTTTCTATTTTTTAAAAATCGTTTCGTCCTCCAGACATGATCTTTGTTTCTATCATCTCAGATTATTCTAGCAGTTACTAAATTACTTTTTAATTTATTCTTCTCATGGATTGACCTTGCTAGGTTATAGAGGCATGTTGTATAGTCTTTATTAAGGTATTCCCTTTACTGAGGGTATGCTTAGTGCATGTTGTATGTATAATTAAATGTAAAAATGTGATTCTAGGATAAAGCACAGGAGATTAATAACTTTTCTACTGAGAGGAAACTGAAAAATAGGACAATAGTAAAGGAAAACTAGTTCTTTATGTTTGTAAGTAATTTTCATCAATTAACTAATTCTATTTAATTTTCCAAATAAATAAAATTTAATTAACTTTTAATTTTCTTTATGAAGACAGCTCTTGTCTAGAGAAATTTGGGGGTAGGAGGATAATCCATTCATAATTTAAAAAGTAGAAATTTTAGATGAAGAATGGATACTGTGTTTCTATCTTAATTTAGATAAGGTGAAACAATACAACTGTGACCAATCTTTGCATTTATTTTTTTCATTAATTTGTTTACTCATTCATTTCTTCGTTCAATAAAACTTTACCACATTCCTATGTACCAGGCATGGAAACTCTCATGTATTTGACTTCTGACATGCTGTTCTTTCTTTCTTTGTCCATTTCTTATTCCATGAGATAATTTACTTCCCTGACTATTTCATGTGTCCTAGCTGTTTAGCTGTGATGTCCATCTTGCATATCTATGTCAGATCAAACGTGTATAATCATGTTTTCTCCTGTCAGTCTCTCCCTATACTTCCGGAGCTCCCTATGCCCACACTCCTCTCCTTTTGTTGGAGAAACTTGATCTCTACTGACATATTCAAGGCCAGTTCATTCTCTGAAATTTGTCCTGCCCTTAGTCTGGGGTATTTAATGACTCCTTTCTGAGTAACTTGCAGGACATGACATCAAAAGTCAATCTTACTGCTAATTCTGCTTGTGGTTCCTTCATTTCCTGTTTTAAATAATGATACATTTTCTTTTCTCATTGGCCAGTTCTCCATTTGAAATTCTGTTTTCTCCCAAGTAAAGCATTTCATTAGGCTGATAATCCTAGCTTAAACTGTAGTTTCCTATCTGGGCCAGACTTCTCCATCTAGCCTCTGCACTTTATTTATTTTGAGCACTTCTATGTTTGTTTCACCTCAGAGATATTACCTTAGGTGATGGGACATTATTTCTTGCCTGTATAAGCAGAGAAAGATTCTAAGGTATTTCTAGACATTCATCCACTCAAAGGAATTCACTACAATCTGTTCGTCTTCCTAGTTCCCTGACCATATAGACACTGACATCTTTAAGATCACAAATTAATTTCCTTTTGGCAGAGTCAATGGGCTTCTATCAAAGGCTCCCCTGTGTTAGTATCTCTGCATATTTATCTTCTCTAACTCAGTTTTTTGCTGGTTCTCATTGCTTCTGTGCACCTTCTTAGGTTTCTTCCATATGGTTTTTCCTTTAATGTTGATTTTTTTCCAGGCTTCTGTCTCTGAATCATTTGTCAAAATATATTTTATTGAGGCATACTAAATTTAAATGTTTTCATAGTACATGTGACATTTTGATACATTCACATAATGTGTAATAATCAAATCAGGGTAATTCGGCTATCCATCATCTTAAACATTTATATTTTCTTATTTTCTTTATGCTGGAAACATCACAGTTATTCATCACTAGCTCTCTTGAAATGTATAATAGATTACTGTTTACTATAATTACTGATTTATTTAATACTAGGCATTATTTCTTCTATCTGACTATATTTTTATACCTCGCTTTATCCCTTTCTTTGCCCTACCCACTTGTCATTTTTAATACTCTGTGGGTGGTCTTGCCCAGTCTCTTAATCTGCATGCTCTGGATTTATTTATTCAACTTTCTGTCAACCACCCATTATCACGTTGCTCCTAATATTTTGAAATCTTCCCTCTAAATTGCTTCTTTTCGTGAATTTCTGTCTAATTATTTTCCTCTCCTGCAGTTCCTTATCTACCCATCCATAGTTCGAACACTTCGAATGCTTGAGTGTTTTTCAACTTTTTCTGCTCTTTTTCTTTTATCCCACTACCTCAATTCCACTGGATAATCACAGTTGTCTTTTCTCCTCTATCTGCCTCTAGTTTTGCCCCATTTAAACCCGTCTTCTACAGAACTGCCAGGTAGAACAACTGAAGATGTCGATAACACCAAATGAAGCTACATCAGAACCTTGTAGCAACTTCCAGATGGTATATAGACTAAATTTCAGACACCTTGGACCATATATACAAGTCATTTATCATGTGACCCATTTACCTCACTGGCTTCATCTTTTATTATTACTGCCTTGAACTCTGGTTCAACAACACTGAACTACTTGTAGTTTTCTGTAAGTTCCCCTCCATGTCTGTGTCTTTGATCTTGTGATTTCATTTACATAGAGGTTCCCATTCCTCTGCTTGGCTGAGCTCTTCCTTTCCACTGCCCCTACTGCCATCTATCTTGTAGTCATCTTCAGCTCAATGCCATTTCTCCATTTCTTCCAAGATGACCACTATGATGGTGGAATTTTGCCCAATCTCTCCCTGCCACGATGAGTTAGGTGTCCTTCAGCTATACTCCAGGATATTATGTGAATATCTATATTATCTTAATGATCTGTATATATATTATAACTCCCTTGGCATGTTCAATGTTAACTTGCCTAGTACTCATCACAAAATACAACTCAGGTATTACTTGTGGGTTGTTTCACTTTCCAGTAAGTTTATTTCAATACGGAGGTAATATGGATGCTCTTTGTATCTTGGCACTTATTTTTCTTATTCTTAAGCATCTTACGAAATATTTTGGAGCTAGTTGTATTGGGATATTTATTGGGAGGTTTATGTGGATAAGCAGTTTAAAAAACCTGAAATAAGTGAAATCTTCCAAGTGATTTAAAAAATATTTAAGCCCATGTTTCCACCTATTGAAATTCATAAATATTTACTATAGAAGTTGACTAGTCTTCTTTATGAAAGTTATTTTAATTTCAAAGGAATTAAAAGTATGTAACTTTTCTTGAAACATTTACCCTCATTCTGAATTATGCTGTCAATTCATTGTATGATTTTGGATTACTTGCTTAATGTTTCTATTTGTTCTCTATTAATACTAATTGCTCCTAATAAATATGAGAATTAATATTGTATCCAATTTAGAAATCCTGCTATAGAAGATATTTGTTTATAGTAAATTATGATTAATGCATACCATGTCCATGTAAACTTTCAACTTTTAAATATGACACTACCTATCTATTGAATACTTGCCATGTGCTAGGCACTGTTCTTGAATGCTTTATACATAAAAGCACATTTAATTGCATCATAGCCAATAAAGTATTAATT